AGTCATGGTAACTTTGTAGAATTTAAAAAAAAAAGATATAATGTTTTAAGAGAATTAAAGCCCAAGGTAAGGAGAAAATAACAGTAACTTAGTTGCTATAGTAGAATTCAGGGCCCAGGATCAAAAACATTTGCATTATAAGGGACTAAAAGAATTTGTGAAGGAGACAAATAAATGGGAGTGGGTAATGAAGACTGGAGACAGAAAACATTCTGATTTTTTAAACAGGCAGTACATTCCCAAGCCTTGCTAAAAGTAGGGGCCACAGAGCAATTGTTTTAGCATAACCTGGGAACATGTTAGAAATGGAGATCACACCCGCTTTCCTGACCTACTGAATTAGAATCCGCATCTTAACAAGATATTCAGCTAATCATATAAACAACAGTTTGAAAAGCACTAAACACAAACTAGCAAGGATTCTCTGAGAAAAGGGCAAGACAAATTTGTTTTATCTTTTACAAGTTTACATATATGATAAAATTAAAGAGTAAATAGAGGGCTGGGGTTGTAGCTCAGTGGTAGAGTGCTTGCCTCGTATGTGAGGCACTGGGTTTAATCCTCAGCATCTCATAAAAATAAATAAATAAAATAAACATGTTGTGTCCATCTAGAACTAAAAATATTTTTTTTTTTTTAAAGAGAGAGTGAGAGAGGAGAGAGAGAGAGAGAATTTTTAATATTTATTTTTTAGTTCTTGGCGGACACAACATCTTTGTTGGTATGTGGTGCTGAGGATCGAACCTGGGCCGCACGCATGCCAGGCAAGTGCGCTACCACTTGAGCCACATCCCCAGCCCCCTAAAAATATTTTTAAAAAAGAATAAACAGATATAATCAACCAATTTCAGAAAAAAAATGACTCACAATAACAGAATATCAAAACATCTACCCAATTTTCTAGAATCTAAAGGATATGTTCTTCCCTTAAATAATACCATATACTATGAGGACCTCATAAGCATATAACCTGAAATTGTCTACTCTATAAAAGGTGAAACTTGAACTAGGAGCAGTTCCACATGCCTGTAGTTCCAATAATTCTGGAGGCTGAGGCAGGAAGATCACAAAAATTTGAGGCCAGCCTAGGCAACTCAGTGAGATCCTCAGCAATTTAGTGAGACTGTCTCAAAACAACAACAAAATAATTAATTAAAAGGATTGGGGATGTAGTTCAGTGGTGAGGCACCCCTGGGTTCAATTCCCCAGTATAAAAATGAAATGAAAAAAGGTGATGCTTGATTATAAAAGTTGAATTTTTTAAAAAGATCACCTAAAAGATAATGGTATTTTCATCCATTTTAGGTATTCAAAATTTTATGTATTCAATATATACAATACCAATACATATAATATCTATGTATTCAAAATTTTATTTCTGCATCAAAGTCAATCATCAGAAAGCAACGTTAGCTTAGTCAATTGCAGAAATGCATTCACTTTCTAACAGTCACTGTTCTTGCATTTAGCTTTTGTTGCTAAAAACAACTTCTCTATATAAATTATACTGATGTTTTTGCTATAAAATTATTATTAAAAGCATTGTCCATTACGCTACTGCTATACCACCTACAGATGTTAAATGTGCAAAAAAAAAAAAAAATGAGCAAAGAAGACTGGAAGAAAAATCACCTTTCAGATATGAGGGTTTTTTTTCCCCCAGGGTTGGGGATAGAACCCAGGACCTCATATGCATGCTGGGAAAGCACTCTACCACTGAGCCATATCCCTAGCCCTCAAACTTTGTTATTAACTGAATGACAGTGAAGCATGTTAATATAGTAGAAACAGGCAAGAAAATATAAGCTATATTTTAAATTTGAAGTCTAAAAATATGAATACTTAATTTATTAAAGTTTCCCTTTGAAATCAATGATTCCATTTTGAAATAGAAACCCAAAACCCCTTCTTCTACACCAATAAGTCAATGTCCACACAGGCTTATAGAGAGAAGCAGATACATGAAGTGAAATGTAGGTACTGTTATCAAGAGGAAGACAGAATGAATGAATGACAGAGGGCTAAAAATAACAAATGTCTGCTACATCTAATATTCCAAAGTTGTCTAATTAGGATTCAGTACCATACTACACTGAAATCCAATTCATTCAATTTGTAGCTCATTATTCATATTAGTAATATTAATTGAGAAAGACAAAATGATGTTTTCATTATCTTAATGTTAGAAATCAGAAAACTTTTAGAATTCAATCTTTAAAGCCTATGATTGTGAGCATGGAGTTCAGGTAATCATTTCCATCTCTGGAAAGCAATTTCAGCACAGAAAACTGAGCCAGATTACTCCTTACCAAATGAGTTTCCCAAAGAGTGACTTCATTAAGAACATGTGAATTAAATTTTACATCTGTGTTATTACTTAGGGGCACTTCTGCAGAAAGAGATTCAGAATGTTTATATAGGTTGTCATATTCACTGAAAAGGTCAAATCATTGAGGTGAGGCAAGGATTTTTCCTTGGATGACAAATTAAGCTGAATTTGCTCAGCAGTTCAAAAAATATCTCTTCAGCACCTGTCATAAATGCTGTGTTACATTATCCAGATCTCCCTTTCAAGACTAAAGTATTTTTTCTCCATTGTTCTTTGGTAACTTGCGAGGTTGAAAAAAGCTACCATACCCATTGGATGGCCAACATCCAATGATAACCAAAACAGGGCTATAAGGCTCAATCCTCTCACTTTAACTTAGGACAATCCTGAGGGACCATCACAGCTTCAGAGCTCCTCGTGAGTAAAGGTAGGCCTTGTCACAATAGTTCAACCCAACTCCTCCCTTTATTTACTCTTTTCCTTTCCCTCACAGATGTTGATTCTGAGAACACACCTTAATAAACCACTTAAACAAACCTCAATCTCAAAATCTGCTTCCAGGGCAACCCAACCTGTGACACACCACATCCAACTAAGCCCCTCTAACCTACAAGAAACAGTAGCAACTATTGCATTGAGCATCCAATAATTTTAAGGAGGCATGATCTCTGTTGCAACCACAGAATAATTATTCAGTGCACATGTATAATTACTGTATCTACAAGTTTTATGTTTAGCTTTTTAGGACAAAGTGTTACCTGGTGAATTATACATCAATATGCCCAAGTTTTATTGCCTTAAAAATACTGCCACCTTGGATTTAAGTTTTAAAACAAGCTTTATTTTAATGCTAACCATTGCAGAAATACTTTCTGTAATTATACTTAAATTATTTTGACCAATCTACATTAAACTTAAGACTCAGGAACTATGTTCAAAAGTTCTATCATATAAAAGTTCTCATTGACACCAGAAACAAATATGCCTTACAGGACAGTGTTATTTATTATGTCTGTGCAACAGAAAATACCACAAAAAATTATAATCTTCAAGCAACCTGTCTGATAAATTCTCAGCCATATTTTCAATGTGCCAACTAACAGCATTTCTGTTTAGCTTTCCACTTGAAACTTAAGAATACACGTGTTGTTATCTCACTCAATAGATGCTCTTTTGTAAATGTGTATCAGTAAACCTAATGCCTGACAATCTTTTTCCTCAATATAGCTGCATTTTACAATAGGATTGCTTTTTTTTCCACTTTCCAAAGTAAACTCAGTAGAAATTTTGCTCCTTTTCTTGAATTCAGTTTTTCATTACATACCTTGTCTGTGCACTGGTCATAGTTTCTATTATATTTTATTGTACAAAGTGTTTTTAAGTTGTAGTCATGCCAGGCACAGGGGCACATACCTATAATCCCAGCAGCCCAGGAGGCTGAGGCAGGAGGATCTCGAGTTCAAAACCAGCCTTAGAAACAGTGAGGTGCTAAGCAACTCAGTGAGACCCTATCTCTAAATAAAATACAAAATAGGGCTGGGGATGTGGCTCAGTGATCCAGTGCCCCTGAGTACAAACCTTAGTACCCCCCCCAAAAAATGTTGTAATCATTTGACACAATTTGTTTGTATATTAAACATACAAGAATTTTCTTTTACTTCTATCACAAAGAAATCTGTTCTTTTCCATTTTCTTGAGAAATACCTTTACAAGTCTAGCTTCCATTCTTCCACTTTAGAGATGTGGGTGTCATGATATCTTATTTCCCTCTTATATCTTCTATAAAAATAATAACAACATACAGAAATGATAAAAATGGGCAACTTGACACATAGAATATGAGAGAAAATTGTATGGACTACTGCAAACAGGAGAATACATCCAATGTCTAAAGGTGGCAACTGCTACTTAACTACAAATGATTTTTGCTTACTATTTCCAGATTTTTCAATGTTATTCAAGAGAAACCAGAAAACCTGACTTTTATGTTAAATTTAATGTTCATCCATGGAAACTTTATTAGTCATTGTGATTGGCATGTTTGTTTCCTCTTCTCAGGGTTCCAAATTTTTATTTAAATTTTAAAAGCTTTATTATACTAGAACACAGAACACTGCCAATTATTTTTTTTTGGAAAGAAAAAGGACAAAACTTTAAAACAACCCAAACTTTAAAAAACTAAAATTAAGTGAATTTCTTTTTTTGTGAACAGAATAGAGGAAATTAGACTATCTGGCTAAATAATTAGGTGGATTTATATTAGGTTCAATGATTGTTCCCCCAAAAAAACATCAATTAATGGGTTGAAGTTAACCTGAAAATTAGTCTGTGCTGCCATGAGGGTTCTGGCCTCAGTTTTACCCCCATTTATCAAGTTAGATTAGGAGTCAGCAACTATGACCTGTAGTCCAGCTGTTTAGTTTTATAAAGTTTCACTGGTGGATCCAGACATGGTGGCATATGCCTATAGTCAGCTATTCAGGAAGCTAAGGTGGGAGGATTACTTGAGCCTAGGGAGTCAAGACCAGCCTGGGTAATAGAGCAAGACCTCCTCTCAAAACAAAAAGTGTTTTTGGAACATAGTCACATGTTTCACTTGTTTCATATATGGCTACTGTAAAAGCAATGGTAAAGTTGACTAGCTGTGACAGAAACTATGTACTCCACAAACCTAAAACATATTCTATCTTGTCATTTAAGAAGTTTGTGGATCCCTGAGGTAGATGAAGACAGGTGGCATGACTATCAAACCTGAAGATGACACAAACGAGAAGGGATTGTTAATATACTGCATGATAATTGAAATTCACAAAAATCAGAACATCTAAAAAACAGGCTGCAACAATCAGACTGATATTTAGTAGGTGGGGGCTGGGGATCTACCTCAGTTGGTAGAGTGCTTGCCTTGCATGCACAAGGCCCTGGGTTCAATCCCCAGCACCACAAAAAAAAAAAAAAAAAAAAAAAAAGAATGGCTACTGGGAACTTACTCAACCATAAAAGTAAAGGATGTGGAATTCAGGCATTAAGAGCAACTGGTGTTATAAAAATATAGTTTTGTAAGTCTAGTAAAATAACCACATGATGTGGCTGCCAGAAAAGATCCAATTTTCCTTTTCTTTTCTATTTTTGGTACTGGGGATTGAATCCAGGATTTCATGCATGCTAAGCACACACTCTACCTCTGAGCTACACCCACAGCCCCAGAAAAGAGCCAATTTAAATTTTGTCAACATTAAAAGAAATATTGGATCTAGAATAGTGCTGTCCAATAGAAATCCCTGTTAAATGGAAATGTTGTCTACCTGTGCTGTCCAATAAGGTTACCATAGCTATAAGTGAGACTTGATACGTGGCTCTTATGTTTAAGGGACCAAACTTTAAATTTTATTTAAATAGCTACACGTGTCTGTTTGCTACCATATTGGACAGTACAAGTTTAGAACATTTAGAACATGAAAAGTATATGTTATTGCTTGGACCACATCTGAATATTGTGTTCAGTTCAGTTACCACATTTACTCAGGAAGTAACTACATCATGAACAATGTTAAAATGAACTGAGGAAGAGCTGACAAATTAAAGATTTAGATGTTGCCATGCAGTAATCCTGGGATGTTTTACTACTAAGCAACATCCCCAGCCCTTTTTATTTATTTCTTATCTTGAGATTGGGTCTTGCTAAGTGACATAGGTCCTCACTATGTTGCTAAGGCTGGCTTCAAACTTGTGACCCTCCTGCCTCAGTCTTCTGAGTCACTGGGATTATAGGCATGTGCCACCATGCATGGCCCTGATTATTTTTTTGTTACAGCTTTATTGAGGTATAATTCAGACACCATAGACTTTATCCATTTAAAGTACACAATTCAATGGTTTTTAGTATACTCTCAGAGTTGTGCAAGTATTAATCAATTTTATAACACTTTCATCATCTACAGCCCTGGATAATCACTCTTCTTTTTTCTGCCTGTAAATCTGCCTATTTGGTACATATCATATAAAATAAATCTTACAATATGCATTTTTTGTGTGTACTGGTTTTTCACTTAACATGCTTTATAGTATGGGTATACCACATTTTATTTATCCATTAATCAGTTGATAGATATGTGCATTGTTTCCACATTTGCCTATTATAAATGAAGCTGCTGTGAACACTGGTATACAATATTTTTGTGGATCTATGCTTAGAATTTTCTTGGTTATAAACTTAGGAGTGGAATTTCTAGATACTATAGTTTGGAGATGTGCTTTGCTCCCCAAAGGTTCATGTGTTGGAGGCTCAGTCCCCAGAGTGGCAGTGTTGGTATGGTGCAGAACCTTTAAGTGGTAGGTCCTAGTAAGAGATCCTTAGGTGATTGGGGTTGCTGTCCTCTTAAAGGAATACTGGCGCTCTGGAGTAAGTTCTCACAACAGTGAATTGTTATAAAATCCAGATCCAGAAGCTTAGTTTGTCTTTGGCTTCCAGTATTAAAATGTGACCACTTGCTCCCACACACACTCCCACTGTTGCCATCACCCATGATATGATAAAGTCAAGAAGGCCATCACTAGAACTGAAGCAATGCCAGTTGCATGACCTTGAACTTTCAAACTATGTGCTACACAGTTTCTTCATAAGTAGCATGTCACAGATATTTTATTATAATGACAAAAAGCTGACTGATATACAGGGTCATATGATAACTCTGTTTAACTTATTGAATAAATAACACAGTTTTTCAAAGAAGTTGCACCATCTTACATTCTCACCAACAGTATACGGGGATTACAATTCTCCACATTCTTGTCAATGTTTGCCATTATTTTTATTCTTATTTTTTTGGATGGGGAATTGAACCCAGGGGTGCTTAACCACTGAGATACATCCCCAACCCTTTTTATTTTATTTTATTTTTTTGAGACAGTGTCTTGCTAAATTGCTTAGGGCCTTGCTAAGTTGCTGAGGCTGGCTTTGAATTTGTAATCCTCCTGTCTCAGCCTCCTGAGCCGCTGGAATTACAGGCAGATGCTACCATGCCTGGCTGCCATTATCTTTTCTATTATAGCTAACCTAGTAGATGTGAAATGTCTTCTCATTGTGGTTGATTTGCATTTACCTGATGGCTAATGATGTTGAGCATCTTTTCAAGTGCTTATTCCACAGTGATTCTTAAGACATTAAAGTTTGAGAATCACTAAAATGTCTATACAAACTTCAAGGTCCCTTTTGACATTAATGATCCCATGAAGATAAACACAGAGAAGCATATAACTTGTAAATATGTATCCATCCATCCTTCCTGTTCTACAGGACTGGCCTGCATTTTATTCTTTTTATTTTATATTAAAATATTAATATGACACTTAAAATTAACTTTATTATTGAATAAAGAAGTAGTACCATCTTCTAAACTGTTCACCACAATGATAAATATTGTGCTCTCAAAATATGAGTGTGTGCCTGTATATATTCAGTATATGTTAATGAAAACCACAGAAAATGTTAAACTTTAGAAAAAGGAAAATCAATTCTTCTATACCTTTCATGATCCATCAGCAGTTTAACAATATTCAGACAGAAGTTTAAAGGCATATCAAAATGTAGTATTTCCATGACAGCTAACAAAGAGAAAAAAATACAATCATCATATCAGTTTTATTTTTTAAGAAAACTTAGCTGTTTTCATCACCTTTCCTCTAGTCAAAATTTACATACTAAATGTTTGCTATATACCATATTTTGCCTAGCAAATTATAAAAATCTTTTTTAAGTACTAATATCCAAAGCTAGAAAGAAGGTAGTGTCATAGGCAAAGGAACCTGGTACCATCCTTTTGAAAAGTAATTTGGCAATACTACATGCTAAAAACACTACAGTTAAGACCTTAGAATCTGAAATCAGGTGAACCTAAATTTGATATCACTTGCCACCTGTATGACCATAAGCAAAGTACTCAACTTTTTGCACCTTAGATTTGTCACCTGTGAAATGGAGAATATATTACCAACCTTTTAGTTTTTTGAGAAGACTACATAAGACAATGTATGGAAATTATATGTACCTAGCACTTAATAAACATTACACTCAATAAATGGCAGTTACTATTACTGTTATTCACATTACTTCAGAAGTTGCACTACTGAAAAGTCATCTGAAATAAATATGGGAAAAGGTTTTTGAACAAAAATGTTAAAATCAGTATATATTATTATTTTTAATATTTATTTTTTAGTTGTAGTTGGACATAATACCTTATTTTACTTATTTATTTTTATGTGGTGCTGAGGATCGAACTCAGGGTCTTGCACATGCAAGGTGAGCGCTCTACTGCTGAGCCACAACCCCAGCCCCAAAATCAGTGTATATCATAATAATAGAAAGGAAAAATAACCCAAATATGCACTATACGATAGCCTTAAACTGTTATGCAACCATTAATATTGCTGAATATAAGATAACATGGGAAACTGAATATGCACTGATTGAAAAATGTTTCTAAGACTAGTATGTGAAAAATTGGAAAACAAGGTTATATGTACTATATGATTATAATTCTGTAAAACACACAAGAAAAAAAACTGAAAATGCTAAGTGACTGTGTTTAGATTCAATGTGTATTCTCTGTGCCAGGCACTGTCTTGCTGCTGTAAACCCAGAAAACAACACACAAAAATCACTGTTCTTAGAAAGCTTATATTCTAGATGGTAGAACTATGGAAATTTTAATATCTTCCAAAATCTACTTTGATGAGCATGTGATATCCTTTCATAATAAAAAAATTGTATATTTTTAAATTTTCACCTTTTTTGCTGTAAAAAAATATCAGTAGCCTGGCATGGTAGCACAAGACTATAATATAATCCCAGAGGCTTGCAAAGCAGAGGAAAGAGGATTATAAATTCAAGACCAGCCTGGGCAATTGAGCAACATCCTATCTCACATGAAAAATAAAAGGGCTGGGGATATAGCTCAGTGATAGTGCACATTTGGGTTCAATCCCCAGTTCTGAATTTTATAAAAACAGTGAAATTCTAATGACAGTAATTATGTTAACCATTGTAAGAGTACAGAACTTTTACTAGTAAAGAAATGAAGCGACTAAGGCTGGGGATGTGATAGAGCACTAGGGTGTGCCACGCCCTGGGTTCAGTCCTCACTGGGTGTAACACCTAGCACAAAAATACTATAAAATGCAAATTTCATAATTATCTCAATATATAAAAATAAAAATTAATTTTATTATTTTAAAATATTAAAAACTTGGATTCAGGGAAGTCTCCTAATTTTTTAAAAATATTTATCTTCTAGTTGTAGTTGAACACAATACCTCTATTTTATTTATTTATTCTTATGTGGTGCTGAGGATCGAACCCAGGGCCTTGCATGTGTGAGATAAGTGTTCTACTGCTGAGCCACAACCTCAGCCCTCCTAATTTCTAATCAAACTTTGTCACTCTAACAGTCTCCAAATTGAATTAAGTAAAAACAATCAAGGAAAAGAATAATTTCACTTTACCTTGCTTTGTTTTGGATTTTTTTTCCTTAGGTATATGAGAAGCAGACCTTAAAGTGAAATTATTCTTGGGGCTGAGGATTCAGCTCAGTGACAGAGCACTTGCCTAGCATGTGAAAGGCCCTTGGTTCAGTCCCTGGCCCTGAAGATAAAGTTAATCTTTTTTTTTTTTTTTGTGGTGGTAGACAACTTCAGAAGGTTTGGGCAGCTATAATTCTCTGCTGGACTAAAAGAAAACTGATTGCTTTTATTCAGCTTTTTTTTAAACCACCTTTTAAATTTGCACCTATTCTTTATTCTGATTCTTCCAGGTTGGTAATCTCTTTCCTATGTGATCAGTTTCTTTCTCAGCCATCACCAAATTATATCTATTGTTAGTATACTACAAAAGATCTTGTCTTCAACAAATTGGTGATATTTCAAAATTGTGTACTCTTTATACACAGAGATGATACCTTCAAGGAGTTCTTCATTAGGTGTTTCACCTTTCAAGAGGATTCTCATCTTTAAGAAAAGCCCAGCTGGATTTAAATGTGCCTATTTTAGACAAAGAAACCACAATGATATTATAACTCTGGAATATAAAAGACAATTTTCAAGTAATTACCTGCTTTATTCAACCACTGAATGATGACTCGGGATCAAAGGAATTCAAAATCATAAAAATCATATAATAACATCTGGTCTATTCCTGAGGATATTTTCTGATATTTTATTCAATCTAAACAAAATAACATGAGGAAAAGAATATGCAAACATTTCCATAGAGTGACAAATATTTAGTGGCAAGGTCAATTCTTAAACTGTGTGAATCATAGATAATATTCTTCATAAGCAAAACCTCAAACATCACTTAGATTTATTTTCTTTTGAGACTTTAATAAGTAAAGCTCTTTGTAAACAATGTTAGAATGAAATGAAAAAAATATATTGTCTTTTCTACAAGATATATCTGTGTTATTTACCATTAGTAACAATTTTCTCTGAATGATATTTCCAAGTCACTGTTATCTGGCCCCAATTAATCTGTGATCTCTTTCTTGGTTCTACATTTATCTGACAAGGTACATCTTTAAAAAACAGGCTAAGATTAAAAGTGCAGCTTAGGCCCATAGAAAAGAACCTTCCTCTCTATAATGCCAAGTAGCCTCTACACAAACATTGTATTCATTGGATCCATACTCTGCAAATAATTGCAGTTATTCATACATTAAGAACGAATGGGGGACGGGGCTGGGGTTGTGGCTCAGCAGTAGAGAACTCGCCTAGCTTGTGCAAGGCGCTGAGTTAGAATCTCAGTACCATGAAAGAAAGAAAGAAAGAAAGGAAAGAAGGAAGGAAGGAAGAATGGAAGGAAGGAAGAATGGAAGGAAGGAAGGAAGGAAGGAAAGAAAGAAAGAAAGGTATTGTATCCCACTACAACTAAGAAAAAAATTAAAAAAGAAAGAATAAAAGGGGGGGGGCTGCTGCTGGTGTTGTGGCTCAGTGGTAGAGCACTTGCCTAGCAAGTGTGAGGCACTGGGTTCAATTCTCAGCACTGCATATAAATTAATAAATAAAATAAAGGGCCATCAACAACTAAAAAATATTTTAAAAAAGAATGAATAGGAGGAACCAGGAATGGTGACACACACCTGTAATCCCAGCAACTAGGGAGGTTGATGCAGTAGGATCTCAAGTTCAAAGCTAGCCTCAGCAACGTAGCAAGGACCTGTGCAGCTGAGTGAGACCCTGTCTCAAATTTTAAAAAGGGTGAGGGATGGGGATGCAGCTCAGTGGTTAAGCACCCCTCATTTGAGGTTCAATCCTCATTTCCAACAACAACAACAAAAAAGTATGAATAGGAAGGTAGGGAAAGTAAGCACTGATAATAAAAGGGTTGAAAATTATAGATGACATGAACACAAAGAATAAACTAAGCCTGACAATTTCAACTATAACATTACCATTGTGTTGGTGAGTTTTCTAATACTATAACAAAATACTTGAGATAATCAACTTAAAAAGAGGAAAGGTTTATTTTGGCTCACAGTTTTGGAGGTTTCATTCCATGGTTGGTTGACCCCATTGTTTTTGGGCCTGGGGAGCATCATGGTGGGAGCACATGGTAAAAAAAAAAAAAAAAAAAAAAAAAGCCTGTTCACCTCACTACCAGGATACAAAGAGAGAGAAAAAGGAGGGGAAAGAGACCCCAACTCCACACTCCCCTTTAAAGGCACACCCCTAAAAGACCTGAAACCTCCCACTAGGCCCCACCACTTAAAGGTTCCACCATCTCCCAATACTGTCATAAACTGGGGATTAAGCTATTAACATATGGATATTTGGTGAACACTCATCCTAAGAATAGCAATAGCTTTTCCTATAGGCACATCAGAATGTATACTGGGTTCAAATTCATTTTACCTTCAGAGATGCATAAGTCTTATAGATTTGGCAGACTGTTTTCCTTAAGTATGCCATATGCACACAATTTATTCCACTTTTCTCTGATTTTATTACTAAAAAATCTCCAAAAATGGACACTATGCTTTGTTGTATCATCATGTTTTTGTTTCTATAAAAAATCTGCACTGTGTTGTCCATATTTACTATCTCCTTAAACTATACTTTCAGAAGTCATCAATGATTGTCTGTTAAATCTATCAGCTCTCTCCCTACTATCTTGTCTTCTCTGTAATTTTTTATCACCAATGTTTCTCAGTCTTCTTCCTTAGATTTTTATTTGCTTTTCAATAACCAGTAGTTATTGAGAAACAGGCTCCAGATACAACAAACATAACAGGGTAATTATTGTGAATCCTGTTTTGCAAATGATAACTTGAATAGCTTACCCACAGTCACGTGATAAGTGATAGAGCTGAAATTTGTATTTGAATCTGTTAGACACAAAAGACACTTAATCTATCTTGGGTCTGCATATTACCTGAAAGCCTTAAAAATAATATAATTTTTTAGTATAAAGCATATCATATATATATACACATACCTAAATATATAAAACATATATGTATAGTTTATAGAATACTATAGTTTGAATCTGAAAATGTCCCCCAAAGGTCCATATGTTAAAAGGCTTGGTCTTCAGCCTACAGTACTATTGAGAGGTGATGAAATGAAGAGATGGGACCTAGTTGGAAGAAGTTAGATCACTGGAGACATACCCATAAAGGAAATATTGGGAACCTGGCTACTTCCTCTTTCTCTCTTTCCTTGTTCTTTAGGCAACGTAAGGTGAATAGACCTCCTTGTCACACATTCCTTCCATGATGTACTACCATTCTGCAGGCCCCAAAACAATAGGCCAATTGACCATGGATTGAAACCTCTAAAAATGTCAGCCAAAATAAATCTTTCATGGTTTTAAGTTGATTTGTCTCAGGTGTTATATCAATAATAGGATGATGACTGACAACAATTTGCATTATGAAAAGTTTCCATTTCAACATAAATTTAGTATCTGTTTAATGAGGTCATAAGTAAGCAAACTGTTTTTTTTAATTTGTTCTAATTAGTTATACGTGACAGTAGAACACATTTTGACACATCATACATAAATGGAGTATAAACTTCTCATTCTACTGGTTGCACGTGGGCAAAATGTGTTTTATTTTTTTTTTAAAGAGAGAGTGAGAGAGGAGAGGGAGAGAGAGAATTTTTAATATTTATTTTTAAGTTCTCGGTGGACACAACATCTTCATTTTGTATGTGGTGCTGAGGATCAAACCCGGGCCGCACGCATGCCAGGCGAGCGCACTACCACTAAGCCACATCTCCAGCCCGGCAAAATGTGTTTTAATAGGTACTCTAAGTAATACTTTTTACATGCTAAAGTTTAAGAATAATTATTTTGTGGGTTTCTGTTGTATGAATATATCACAATTTATGTGCCCATTTTGCCTTGGCCATTTGAATTGCTTCCAACCCAATTGATAACATGAAGTAGCATGGTATTAGCATTCAGTATAGTTCTCCACAAAGCCTAGAATTTCCTTTAAAGTATATACCCATGAGTAAATTGTTGGCTGACTGGGTATGACCAAGTTCAACTTTATCAAGTAATATCAAACTGTTACTCATAGTGGTTGCTCAAGTCTCAACAACAACAACAAAAACAAACAAACAAAAAAAAAACAGGAATAAAGAGAAATTCCTCAGGGCTGGGGCTGTAGCTCAGTGGTAGAGCACTTGCCTCACATGTGTGAGGCACTGGGGATGATCCTCAGCACCACATAAAAATAAATAAAGATATTGTGTGTCCATCTACAACTAAAAAAATTTTTTAAAAAGAGGAATTCCTCAACCTAATAAAGGGCATCTATAAAAAAACCCTCATCTAACACAACACTTAGTAGTTAAATACTGAAAGCTCTACCCCTGACACCAGAAACCAGTATACCTGCTCTTGCTACTTCTGTTCAATAGTTTAACAGATATTCTTGCCAGGGAAATTAAGAAAAAGAAGGCAAAAAGATCGGAAAGAAAGAAGTAAAATTATCTCTATTTGTAGATGATTTGATTCCTGTATATACAAAATCCTAAGAAATCCAATAAAAAATTATTAATGCTAAAAAAAAGTTTAACAAAGTTGCAACAAATAACATCAATTTTTGAAAAGTCAGCTGTATTGCTATGTACTAGCAACAATCCAAAAATGAGCTTAAGAAAATAAATTAATTCCATTTAAAGCATCAGAAAGAATAAAATATATAGCAATGAAGAAAATAAAGGGCAGAAATTATGCATTGAAAACTACAAGATATTATTGAAAGAAATTAAAACCTATGTAAATTTTCCTAGATTTGAAGAATTAATATTATTAAGATGGCTATAATCCCTAAATTGATCTTCAGGTTCAACAGAAGCCCATTCCAATTCCAAGATGGCTTCTTTACATAAAACAAGCTGACCTCAAAATATGAAAATGCAAGAGATCCAAAAGAGCTAGAACAATTCTGAAAAATAAAAAGTAATAATTCTGAAAAATGACAATTTTGAAAGTTGGGCTGTGGGTATAGCTCAGTTGGTAGAGTGCTTGTCTTGCATGCACAAGTCCTTGGGTTCAATCCCCAGCATGAATGAAGAGAGAGAGAGAGAGAGAGAGAGAGAGAGAGAGAGAGAGAGAGAGAGAGAGA